GAAACTACCAGCTGTTCTGCAGGAGAAAGATCAGGCTTTCTGCTCTCGTAAACATTTACAGCCTTGAAAACCCTGTACAGGATCGTTGAGTCAGAACTGACTCCACAGCGCATAACCACCACGAGTTGAAACTTACTCTACGGCACTTAACAACAACATACCTATGGATGGAATCCCATTTGGAAACAAAGTGTTTTTTTATGTTAATGATGTCATATCAGTGTTGGGTGGGTTCTAAACATAATCACTTCTGAGCTATAAAAAAGGTCGGGCGTTTAAACTCACCAGCACTCCTCAGAAATCCTATACAGGGTTGCTATGGGTTGGAACCAACTCAATGGCACTTAACGACGACAACCAGGCACGAATACCCAGGGAGGAGGACAGATGCCATATGAGGATGCCAACAAGCCATGGAACCAAGGAGTACGTGGGACTACCAACAAGGAAGATGTCTACACAGCTGAGACCTTAATTTTGACTTTTAACAACCAGAGCTATGAAACAATAAATTTCGGTTCTTTAAAGTCACCCAGTTGTGATATTTCTGTTACCAAAGTACTAGGAAAATGAGATAGTCCCCCAGGTGACCTGGAGCATAAGTTGGTTTCCAGAGACCCATGGAATCCTGGTGTGGCACTGCGGTTAAAAGTGCTGGACTGAAAGGTCGGTTTGAACCACAAGCTCAGTGGTTCAAGCTCACCAGCCACTCCTTGGGAACACTATACAGGGTTGCTATGAGTCGGAACCAACTCAACAGCACTTAATAACAACAATGGAGAAGGGCGAGGTAGATTGAAAGGGAGGTGGAACATGCTCTTATGGGCACCCTTTTCCAAGTCTTACCAGATGCCAGGAGTATGAATGCTGACTTCTCCCAGACATCACTTGCTGGTGGGGAGGGTACCTGATGTTCCATGGGTCTGGCTCCATTGAGGCTCCATTGTGACATTGTACCAGCAGTGGGGTGGACAGGGACTGACACATAATTCCAAGTTCACATCTGATGTTTTAGGTCAGTTTCCTAAAACGAGAGAAGGATTGCTCTCAGGACAGGCCCCTGTGGGGAGTGATGGAGAAGGAGGTGATGGTGGTGGGCCAATCACAGCTGCCCCCTCTGGATGGTTTGTCATTGTTGACAAGTGCCGTTGAGTTAGTTCCGACGCATAGCCACCCTTTATAGGGTTTTTGAGGAGTGACTACGGAGCTTGAACCACCGATCTTGTGGTTCAAATCAACTTTGCAGTCTAGCACATTAACCCACAGCACTACGCTGGGGGATGGATAATCAGCCCAGTAAAGAGGGACTGGGGGCATCAACAGCACGAACGTTTGTGGGGTCAACTGTGGGGCTGTGCACAAGACTCCTCAGAAACCACTTGGTCCCTAGGGTGTGCAGATGATGCCAAGACACCCAGAGAGCAGAATTTTGCAGCAGACAGCTCAGATCTTGAAAGTCAGCCTCTGCAGCAAGTGACTGCTGTAATGACATGTGCAAACCTCCCACGGAGGGGTGGCCTGTTTACACAGGACTTCCGGGACTTCACGGTATGGAAGCTTCAGGGCCTCTGCAGCTTGAAGATGCAGAAAGTCCAAGTGTGCCCCATGCTGCTGGGCCTCAACTCGCCCACCGCTGAGCTTCCTCCAGCCGCTGCGCTCCGTCAGCACTCCCTCATCCAAATCTGCCTTGGTCATTTTTCCACCTGGGCTTTGTGCCCGTGCAAACATATTCTCAGCAGGACCCCACAGGCTCCTTTCATTCTTCTTTGGGACTCAGAAAATGCAAATATACAACTCACTGTATTTGCACAGTTCCAAGACTTACCCTCTCAGTGGGTCCTTGAGCCTTGGCAGGCCTGTCTCCCAGATGCCCCTGCATGAGTCCTGGGATGGGTCTGTGTGTATGTGGTGGGTGAGTGGGTAGAGACTCATCAGGGAAAACCAATGTGAAATTCAAGAACTCCAGTGACTGAGGTCAGTGTGCTAACAACTCCTTCATGAGCTGCTGGAGTGAAACCACTTCAACCACTATGTCTTCTTAAACCTTGAGAAGACAGCCATCAGATTAACAGTATTTCTCTTCCTGGAGCTGGAGGAACAGCTGCTCAGGATTATAAACAGGGGTGGCAGAAAGCTGCTCTGGAGTTGGGGCAATATTAGAATGTTCCCTGCTGTACTCAGGGAATGAAAAGCCAACGACCCTCTTTGAATGGAACAAAATCCTCATGAAAGTGTTAGACAATGGAGCTATGTTGCTATTCATAAGTGCCTCCAAGTTGGTTCCGACTCTCAGCGACCAAGTCTAGGGATTCTGAGGAGCGGCTGGTGAGTTTGAACCACCGACCTTGTGGTTCAAAGTGACCTTATGGTTGAGTACTTTATCTTACAGCACCACACCAGGATTCCCATATGCTCCCTTTATTCTCTGCTGTGATCTAGAATTGATTTAGCTACAATGATAGATTTTAAGTGTGTCATCCATGATCCCGTAACCTCGTCATCATCCTCTGTATTACGAGCCAAAGTCCATATTGAACCCCATATTGACTCATCCTGCTGCTTTCCCCTCCTCCCACCATTACGCTGGCCACTGTAAGGGAAGGGGCACTTTGGAAGAGACAAAACCAAAGGCTGGGGAAAGGGGATGTCACCTCTGAGGAACCTTCATTCTCCCCTTCCCTCCACTGAATGGGAACTTTTCTGCAATTCTGCCACTTGGAGACACAAAAAGCACAGAATTTCTCAGAAACTCAGGCCATGGCTGCCATTTTGTGAGTTTTGGGCCAGGTGATGGAAGAGGTCTCCTCAGTCCACACCAACTCTACTCTGCTTTCTGCAGATGGGCCCTTCACCATCATGACCCAGGAGTCTGGAAGAGAAACATCTTCTCTGGTATCAATGTGCAGAACCCCCGAGGGAACAGCTATGTATTTCCTGATTGTGGCAAGGCTGGATTGCCTCCAACACTTTTCTTAGATTTGGGACTCATTGCTTAATCTGCAGGGAGTGCAGTAGCTCTGTAGGATAAGTACTGGACTGCTAACCACAAGGTTGGCAGCTTGAGCCCACCACCGCTCAAGGAAGAAAGATAAGGCTTTCTGCTCCTGTGGTGATTTCCAGACTCTGAAACCATATACAGGGTCGTTATGAGTCAACTGACAATGCCAACAATGCCAACACTTGACCTGTCTGACCTCCGCTTCCTCAGCCAAAATGTGGAGTCCACATTTGCCTGGGTTGCACAACTAATGTGCTGATTACATAAGCTAAGACCAAGAGGGCGCCTTCCATAGTAAGCATTCCCAATAGGTGCAACATGAGCTTGTCTATTCTCTCAGTCCTAAACCTGTTGTCATCAAATCAAATTCATCTCATAGTGACCCCATGTGTGTCAGAGTAGAACTGTGCCCCATAGAGTTTTCAGTGGCTGTTGTTTTTAAAAAGGAGATCACCAGGTCTTTCTTCCAAGGCACTCTGGTTGTATTTAATCTGTCAACTTTTCAGTTAACAGCCAAGTATGTTAACTCTATGCACCACCCAGGGACGTCTCTCTCAGCTCCACTGGGGCAAAATAAGGAAAGAAAATATTCTTTTCTTGCTCTGCTCCATGGCTAAGAGCCTCCTGTCTTCCAAAGGAGAGTCTCCTGAGTTCTCCTACAGGAAGGCTTATTCACCTTGATTCCTTTCTCTCACTGTCATACCAGCTTCCTCCCCTCAATACGGACCAACCCATCTCTTGCAACTATTTGAAAGATGTTGTTATTGTTGTTGTCAAGTGCCGTCGAGTTGGTTCTGACTCATAGTGACCGTGTATAGGGTTTCTGAGGAGCAACTGGTGAGTTTGAAGTTTTGCTTTTCCTACAGCGCCACACCATGACTCCTCTCAGTCCTTGCCCATGTGAATGCTGGATGACCGGGTTCATTGCTTTTATTAGCAGAATGTTTGCATTTTGGAACTCTAAACCAGAATTTGGGAATTTTTTTTTCTGTAAAGGGCTTGTTGTTGCTATGTGCCGTGGAGTCGGTTCCGACTCATAGCGACCCTATACAGGGTTTCCGAGGCTGTAAATCTTTACGGGAGCAGAAAGCCTCATCTTTCTCCTGTGGAGCAGCTGGTAGTTTCGAACTGCTGACCTTGTGGTTCACAGCCCAGTTTGTAACCACTACACTACCAGAGCTCCTTTGTAAAGGGCTAGAGACTACATATTTTAGGCTTTGTGGATCATACTTTACATGTAGTAACAATTAGCAACCAGATTCAGCTTATTGTCTGTTTTTGTATCATTCTGGAGCGAAGAATGCTTTTTACATTTTAAACTGCTTAATAAAAATTAAAATGTAAAAAAGAAGAATGTATGCATTGTTATTTATAAAAATTAAATCAAATTAAAGTGTCAGTGTTTAGAATACAGTTTTACTGGAACCCAGCCATTCCTATTTGCTTCCATATTGTCTATGACTGCTTCCACTGTACAGAGTTGAATAGTTGTGAGAGAGACCATATGACCCACAAAGTCTAAAACATTTACCACCTGGCCCTTTAGAAAAAAAAGTTTGGTGACCCTGGCTCTAAATAATTAATGTTAGAGATAAAAATTCATCAACAGTGAACATGTAGTGTTTAAGCTCGTGTTTGTCATCTGAAGTGATAATTCCACAGGGATCTAGAGAGAGATACTGCTTACGGATGTGTACAATGTGGTTAATAGTACCATCTCATAAGGTTGTTGTGAGGAATACATAACTTGATGTATGAAAATCACTTGGAACAGTGCCTGGCATTGTAAGTACTCAATAAATTGGAACTTCAATTGTGTTCACGTATGCTAAAAGCCGTCCAATCAGTTCTGACACATAGGGACCCTGGCTAAGGTTTCTGAGGAGTGGCTATTGAGCTTGAACCTCTGATCTGAGGTTCAAATGACTTTGCAGTCCAGCTCATTAACCCACAGCACCACACCAAGACTCTGTGTTCGTGTGTAGGCATTAATTCAAATAAATACAGAAAATGATGGCTTCTTCCCTCCTAATTTATTTTGGAATGTGTTGTAAACGTTTGAAATGTCCATTTTAGTATCTTTCTGGCTTCACCAGTCTTAGATGACATGACAAATTCTCCTTCATAGAAGGTACAAGTGAAACAGAACAGGAGGGACATTCTGGATCCTTCTGTCTTCAGAAAACATGAACTCATCAAGCTGCACCTGGTTTTCAGTAGAACTGGCTCATGTTTCTTGGGAGTGAGCTGTCCAAACCACTGTTCATCCATATTTCCTGAATGATTTGCTCTCTGGGCTCAATCCTTTCTGCTAGCTCCGCAGCCTCTATGGAACTGTAGACAGGATACGAAGTCCTACAAAACCCCGACAGCTCCCCTGGAAAATCTGAGTCTGAGGAGCCCTCCTCCTCCTCTCCATCCTCGCTGTCTTCCTCAGCCTTGTCACTCCCTGGCACCAGATGCTCCTTCCCCAGCTTTATCTCCCTTAAGTCCTTGGTGCAGGACACTCTGATGACCAGGGCACACAGTGTGAGGACCAAGCCGATGCAGACACTGGATACAAACAACAGGGCGGCTCTCTCAGGATGGGCTGCGGGAGGAAGAGAATATGTCAGGAGCTAGGTGGAGCTATCACTCTTCCCACAGACACAGGTGGCTGCCCAGCAAAACAAGACCACCGGAACCTCATTGAATATACATGCCCTTTGATTTTTAAAAAAAGTTTTGTTCTTTTTTTCTGTTAGTAGTACAATTATTAGCTGAACAAATGATAAAGAATAAAGGTTACATTTACCAGTCTCTTTAAGCACGAAGTATGATCATGTTAGTGAATTCTAGCCAATACGATACAAGCAGAAGTGACATTAGGCAACTTTGTGCACTGTAATAGTTAGGATTCTGTGTCAACTTGATTAGGCCAGATTCTCCATTGGTTTAGCTGTGATGTTGACATGTGCTTATACCCACAGTGATGAACCTAATGCAGGTGTGGTGGTGGTGGTGTGCTGTGGAGTTGGTTTCGACTCAGAGACCCTGCATAGGATTTCTGAGGCTATAAATCTTTAAAAGATGAACAGAAAGCCTCATCTTTCTCCTGCAGAATAGCTGGTAGTTTTGAACTGCTGATAGTTAACTCTATGATTAGTGGCTAAGAGCAGTTGAAGAGATTCTTCTTTGAGGGTGTGGTCTGCTCCCAATAGAATGGACACAGGGGAAAGGCTCTCTCTCTCTCAACATATATGTGTGTGTGTGTGTTTCACTGGTTTTGCTTCTATAGAAAACCCAGCCTAATGCATGCACATTTCCCTTCCCCCCCATTTTACCATTTATTTTCATGTATATGTTCTTTTTTGCCTTTCCTTCACTCAGTTAATATATGTCTTCCTTTTAGTTAGTGATTTTTCCCTCCCTTTGAGGATATGCAGCCAATATATGTATGCATATAAGAGGACTAAGAGCAAAAGGACTCAGGAGTTAGATTCTCTGAGTTAAACTCAGATCTGCCACTAGCTAGCTACATGATTTGGGGAAAGTTATTCAATCTCTTTCTGTGTCAGTTTCCTCATCTGTAGGATAAGCACTGGATTGTTAACCACAAGGTCAATGGTCCAAACCCACAAGTCATTCCTCAGAAACCCTGTAAAGGGTCACTATGAGTCTGAACTGACTCAATGACATTGAACACCACAACCACACTGGAAATGATAGAACTTTCCTCAAAGTTATTATGATAAAATGAGTTAATTCATATAAAGTTCCTAGAACACTCCCCGACACAGTGAAGTGCTAGCTATAATTAGTTGTAGATTATAAAGAATCCATTTATGAATCAAGTATATATGTGAATTTGAGTACTAATATCATCGTTAAGTTGTTACGTGCCTCCAAGTTGGTTCCAACTCATAGCACCCTGGTATAGGGTTTCTGAGGAGTAGCTTGTGAGTTTGGCAGTTTGTAATAATGAAGTCATTTGTTCACTTAATCATCTGATGTGGTCATCCTTCATTTTTGCAAAAACTGATTTTTGTGTACAACAACTTGGTCTTCAGAACCTAACCATTTCAGAGAGAAGTGGATACAAAGTGTTAGTAGAAATAAAAATAATGTCCTGGTGTGGCGCTGTGGGTTAAGGCACTGGACTGCAAAGTCAGTTTTAACTGCAGGGTTGGTGGTTCAAACTCACCAGCTACTCCTTGGAAACCCTATTGGGGTTTCGGAACTGACTTGATTGTACTTATCAACAACAGCAACCCCAGTCTTAATGCTTACAGATATTTAATCCTGTGTAGAAAGGGCTCTTACTATCCCCACTTTATGGCATGTTTGCACTCACACTCTGGGAAATGACATCCCAGGTACTTCCTTGTAATATAAATCAGGAATTGGCAAACTTCTTTAAATGCCAGATAGTAACTATTTTAGACTTTCTGGGCTATATGGTCCCTGTTATAAACACTTGACTATGTAGTAGGCAAGAGCAGTCACAGACAGAGTGAGCATGACTCTGTTTCAATAAAATTTATCGTCATAAACAGGAGCAAGCTGGATTTGGCCCATGGGCCTTAGTTTGCCAATCTCTGGTCCAGATGTTCAAGCTGAGGGCCAGAGAGGATGCAGCTGCCTGAGACCACTTGAACCCTTAAGGCAGAGCCAGGACTGAAACCCAGCTCCTTGAAGTGTATGAAGTTGGCACTCCCAGAGTTTGCTCAGTATATCTCAGCTTCATGGATCCTCTAGGCATGGTGCCTCCCTCTCACTTTAATGTTGTTGCTGTTAAGTGCCATCAGTCGGTCCTGACTCATAGTGACCCCATGTAGCGCTTCTGAGGAGTGAATGGTGAGTTTGAATCGCCAACCTTGTGGTTCAAACTGACCTCGAGGTCGAGTGTTTATCCTATGGTGCCACATCAGGTGAAAAATGAAGACCACTAACTTGCCACTTCTGTCCTTCCCCAGAATCCAGACTAGAGTTTAAAACCTCAAGATTTGTTCGGTTTCATGTACTGCCAAATGATCCAGTCTTGATGATCTGACGGAAGAGATCTAACTGGAGCACCTTATCTTCTTGTAACTCAAAACCTCCCCATTCAGCTACATTCACTTGCAGCTCAAGTCATCTGTGAAGTCGCTGGACTCAGGTATGTTTTCCTTTGTTGCAACCACCTCTACTGGCACAATCCCATTGCTTCTTTAAGAGAAAGAGGTCTTAACTCACGTTTATTTTGTCTGGCAGAAGGGAGAGGGCAGTGTCAGATTATTATGAGTGCTGTTTGGTGTACTATTAATAAAATATATTTTCCCTAAGAGTCCAAGTATTTTGAAGACTTGGTCAAATAGAGACATATTCTTTGGGAGGAGTCCTTGAGTGGCACAAATAGTTATGTGTTCTGCTGCTAACTGCAAGCCTGGAGGTTCGAATCCACCCAGGGGCATCTCAGAAGAAAGGTCTGAAGATCTACTTCTGAAAAATCAGTCATCTATCCAGACGTGCATGGGGTTACCATAAGTTAAAGTCAGTTTAGCCTTCGTGAGGGAATGAAGAGTTATTTCATTTCTGGAATATGTAATAAGATGGGTACTTAGGAAAGGAGCTCTGGTGACACAATGGTTAAAGTACTTGGTTGCTAACTGAATGATCAGTAGTTTGAGCCCATTATCAACTCCGTGGGAGAAAAGACCTGGCAACTGCTATCACAAAGACTGTTGTTGTTAAGTGCCGTTGAGTCGGTTCCAACTCATAGAAACCCTGTATAGGGTTTCCAAGGGGTGGCTGCTGAAACTGCCAACAATGTGATTCAAACTGATCTAGTGGTCCAGTGCTTATCCCACAGTGTCACACCAGGGCTCTGTATTTAATCAGGAATACTGACTACTGTGGAGTCCTGGTGTGGTACTGTGGGCTAATGCACTGGACTGCAAAGTCAGTTTGAACCACAAGGTTGGTGGTTCAAGTAGCACCAGCTGCTCCTTGGAAACCCTATACAGGGTCTCTATGGGTTGGAACCGACTCGAAGGCACTTAACAACAAACTACCCTATGGTGTAGTTCTACTCTTTCCTATGGAGTTTCTATGAGCCACAATTGACTCAACAGCACACAACAGGACTTGGGACAAAGTAATGAAACAATATTACAGTGTGATACTAAGACCGGAGGTTCTGATCTAAGGAACAGTGGGTTTCTCTTCTCCCCAGCTGCTGGGAATGGGCTCACCTCTTTTGATTTCATTCTGCCCTTGCATGCGGTCCCACCCCCGCTCCTGCCCCCACCGCCCAGCCACTATTCTCTCCAATTCCCCAGATCCTTGTGGGTATATGCTGTGGATTTTCAATGCAGCTAAAAGTCAACTCTTACTCCTTGGAGAACATAAATCTTAACCCTCCTCCCACTGGCTGCGTAGCCAGCACTTCCTAGAGTGCCAGCGAAAACATCAGGGATGGGGAAACAGAACTCCATGTGTTTAGCCTTCTCTAGACTCCTACTATTCAGTACCGGGTCAGGTCCAGGCAGAAAGAATTTAATCCTGATCAAGATTCTGAGGGGCAATCCTCTACCACAGCCTCCCTATTCGCTCCTTTCCCAAGGGGTCATCATAGAGATGCTGTAGGGGCCTTGGACATAAGATCTGACTCTGTTACCGACAAGCAGGTAATATGGACAATTTACCATGCTTTGCTTTTTCTCTTTTAAAGGGCTCTAGGTAAAACAGAATGAAACTGATTAATGGACTTCCACCACTGGTCTGTCAGTTTGTCATACTGTGGTGGCTTGCTTGTCACTGTGATGCTGGAAGCTATGTCACTGGTATTTAAGATACCTGCAGGGTTTTCCATGGTAGACAGGTTTCAGCTGAGCTTCCAGACTAAGACTAGGAAGAGAGACAGGCAGACTACTTCTGAACATTTAGCCACTGAAAAACATTATTAATAGTAGTGGAACACTGTCAGATAGCAACAAAATATTGAATATTGAAATATTATAAATACCACCAGACAGGAGTTCTGGTAGCGCAGTGGTTACAAGTTGGGCTGCTAATCTCAAGGTCAGCAGTTTGAAACCACCAGCTGTTCCATGGGAGAAAGATGAGGCTTTCGGCTCCTGTAAAGATGTATAGCCTCAGAAACCCAATACAGGGTCACTATGAGTCGGAACCCACTCCATGGCACATATCCACCACCACCCACCACCATCTTGAAATATAATGCTGTCTGTGATAGGCTAATATCCATATGCCTACAAGGAAGACTAGTTAATACCATTATTATTCAAATTTATGCACCAACCACTAAAGCCAGTCATGGTGAAATTGAAGAATTCTACTAACTTCTTCAGGCTGAAACTGATTAAACATGCAATAAAGATGTATTGATAATTACTGGTAATTTATAATTACTGGCGATTGTAATGTAAAGGTTGGAAATAAAAAGGGAGGCTCAGTAGTTGGAACATATGGCCTTGGTGATAGAAATGGTGTTGGAGATCACGTGATAGAGTTTTGCAAGACAAATGACTTATTTGTTACAAATACTTTTTTTAAAAAACAACATAATAGATGACTATAAACATGGGCTTCACCAGATGGAATACACAG